GGCGCCGCAGGCGAGCTTTTTCCCACGGAGGGTCACAGGTGGAGCTTCAAGACCTTCCTGTAACCTCTGCAAGAGCTGGCAACCCGCGCGGTCCGCTATGCGGCAATCGTGCGAGGCTGTTCAGGGCTCGTTGTCAGTACCTGTTGAGGCTGAGGTCCTGCCAAGCAGACCGATGTACCATTGTCTTATCAACAAATCCAAAACTGCTTTGCAACCTGGAGAATGCCCCTGTGCTGGGAGTGTATCCGGATATCCGCAGACCTCTGCAGACCGACTGAATCGACTGCGATGAAGAAAGCAGATCTGACGTTCGAGTGGATGGTACGCGATGTTCTTTGTTTTTCTAGTGTTTTTGGGCAGTGATGCAGACTTGCCTCAATAGCAGGGCTTTGTTGTAGTACTGGTGGTGGTGGTGGTAGTAGTAGTAGTAGTTTTGCGGCGGCGGTGGTAGCGGTTTTCTAGGCCCCCAAAATAGTATGGCACCCTTATAACATGGACCCTAAAAGGAGAGGACTACCCATCTGAAGCGAACTTGGAAGGCTTTGTGAAGGTGTCGATTCTCTTTCACTCGTAATAAGTTTGCAGAGGGCCTTTGTTCAGGGTTCTTTAAGGCTTCACGGGTCAGTGCTACCGAAGAAGCTGGTGACTTTGAAGCACATGTTGGTTCTTCATGCACAGGCGTGGGCAAGATGAGGATCCGCCCTTCTGGCTGCCACGTGCCGCTCACACTCTCTGCAGTTGAAAACATGAGCTTGAGCAGGCGAGTTCCAGTGGAGCTTGCGCAGCTACTGTTCATCTTGATGCTCGATGTCCAAGCTTCCTTCATGAGTTCGAACATGCAGCATGCAATCTAGCAACTTGCATTCGGTTGACTGCGTGTTCGTCGCAACTCAAATTGCTTATGGATCAAGGTGACTCAGGCACGGTAGCCTTGCGTGATGGAGCAGCAGGTGGCTACCCGAGTCCGTGAGGTACTGGGCATCTTTCGGGAAGGCCTGTATGAGAATCAGCTGAAGAGGCTTTATCGCAGCAGATATGGCGAAGCTCTCGATGTCAGGTCCCTGGGCTTTTGCTCTCTCACAGATTGGATCAAGAAGAGCCCTTGGCTTAAACGGAGCGAAGGCAGTCTCTGCTTGGTGAAGCCGCCTGATTTGGTACGCTCCAAGCAGGAGCTTCTACGGAAACATAGGGGCACCTTCCGTTTCTGCTGTGGCAGGTGCTACAGCCTTCAGCCAGCCGGGCGTGGTTGTGCGTGCAAGAAGTGTGGCCACGGAACATTCGAAGCAGCACGGCTGCTGGCGTACGAGCCGCCAGCGGACGAAAGTGCCGAAGCTACCGTGATCCGCAAGCCTGGAGAATATGTCAGCGGTTGCGTCCATTTCTTCTCGGGGAAGAGATGCAGGCAGCAGTGCCTATATGCACACAGCGAGATAGAGTTGGACGTGTGGAATGTGCTTCGAAGCGGTATTGCCAGTGAAGAGTTGGTGTTGGAGCCACAGTTCCTCTTCGCGGACCAAGCTGCTTTCCAATGCCACTCTTGTGCCGACGCCTTTGCGACAGAGCAAGAGTTTCGTCAGCATTTGCAGTCGCAGCAGCATGTGGATTGCGTGAACATGGCGCTTCAGCAGATGTACGACTGGAAGAAGCGTCCACCACCTCAAAGGCACTCTTTGGGGCTGTGCAGTCGATTTCAGTCCTATCATCGGTGTCAAGCTGGGTCCACATGCAGCCACGCGCATTCAGAATCCGAGCTTTGCGAGTGGAGACAGCGTCATGAGCTTCTGGAGCGTCGATGCCTTATGTCACAGCAGGATTGTGCATGTGATTTAGTTGTGCCGAACCCGTGCACCGCTCTCCAGGAAGCAGACCCCCGTCACCCTAGTATCCAAACTTCAGCTTGGCTTCTCCCAGATTGAGGTCGCCTGGAGCTGAGCTCTGCCAACGGACTGCAACCATGGCGACGAGATCTCTCTCTCAAGTGGTTCTCGGCTTCTTGGCGGAACGGCCCACTTACCTACCCTTTTTATTGCGGCGGTTTAAGAGTTTCAGGCTTGTGCTTCTCTGTTCGCCTGCTGTCCAAGCCCTGAAGCCTGAAGCCCCGAAGCTATGGAGACATTGAGCTTTAACAGTACAGGCTAAAGGCTTACTTCAACTTTGAGTCGCGAAGCCCTGGAGCGCGTAACAACCCAAGGCCAGAGAAACCAAAAGCAAAAGCCCTGCGACGCGGCCATTCAGGCAACGGGGCATCTTGCGAGTTTGGGGCCGCAATCCTCTCGACACGCGCTATCCGCCTGGGATGAATCCAGGACGTGTTTGGCGGAGTTTTCTGTTGGTTGAGGGTGGCAGGCTGAGGCGTCTTCCCCTTTCTGCGAAAGCTCTCCCTTTCACCTGCAAGACACGGTCCAAACATCCACTTGTAATCTCAGGCGCTCCGAGGGCTTCTTCTGGAAGACGACCCTGCAAGCGACAGCTTATGCTCTGTGAGCCTTCCAGAAACCCCGGCGAAGCATGCTTGGAACTGCAGGGTGGTGGTGGCAGGGAGACACTTGCTCAGAGCTTGTTTGCTTGACCCGACGAAGTCATCTTGCTTCTGGCTTCAGCTGGAGAAGGACCCAGTCAAGTACCAAGAGCTGCAGATTGCTCATCAGCAGGTGGGCGAGCTTTCCTTGAACTTTGCCGTGGGGAGGTTTGGTCGCTTCGAGCAGTGGTTGATCCTTGATTTTGGAGGCCCGCCCTTTGTCATGAAGCGCTTCTCTGTGACGGTGGAGAATCACTGCCATGGCTCGCTTCTTAGCGAGGCCACGCTGACAGAGTCGATCAGCCAGGAGCCCAAACGCTGGACCTGGTGGACAAGCGTGCAAGGTCGTGAGGAGCCGTCGAGATTGATGCTGAAGCACAAACCCCCTGAGGCTTCTCTCGACTCCATCTACTGCCAAGATAACGGCAGGCTCGAGTGGAACGGCGTGGAGGAATATCGAATGAACCTTCATTGCTTTCTGAAGAAAGAAGAGGAGGCAGACACTGCAAAGCTTCACACGCTCTCCGGCGATTATGACCTCAAGTTGTTGCCAGAGGCGGGCTGCTTTCGGCTGCTGCTTCTTCTTCTTCTTCTTGCAGCTTGCAGGTCCTTACAACCGTAGGTCCTTTGCCCAACTGCGCTGCAACCTGCAGGATGCAACAGGTGCCACGGCTCTAATCGATCTCGGTGAGAGGGGAAAGCTTCGTGAAGGCCTGGTGGGACGAGAAGGGTTCGGAAGAGGAAAAGATGAGAACAAATTTTGAGTTGCTTTAAGCGAAGGAAAACATGCAGGTCATTCGCCAGGCAGCTGAGACTAAGTTCCTGTTCCTCAACAAGTACCCTCTTGTCTCTACAGGTGGCCAACTACTCCTGCGCGGCCGCTGCAACAAAGCTTGGTTAGCTTCCAGTGCTTCAAGCAGGCCTGTCTTCGAGGCCCCACCCGAAGTCTGTGTTCAGGCATGCTTGGATTTAGGGTTTGCAGGCTTCGGTGTATTGTGCGCAGGTGCAGCTGCAGGTCCAAGAAGAGGAGACTCTGGCAGTGAAGTTGTGGCTGCAGCCGCATGCTTTGCGTTGCCTCTGCGGACCCCCGATTGCACGCGTTCATGTCCAGTTCCAGCTTGATCGATGGGAGATCAGTTCCCAGCATGAAGTGGTGGATGTCATCTCTCGGCGTGAGATTGTTCACCGACTGGTGTTGCCCAACCTGGAGTGCTACCTGCCTCCCAGCCAGTCCGAGCTGGATGCGAACCAGTCCGTCGCGCGGCAGCTCACCGATTGGCACCTTCCGCCTCCGAATCCTGCACAGCTTGGGGTGATGAGCTTTGCACTTTGCGGTCTTCAACGCAGCTTGCCGCCTTTGCTGGTTTACGGGCCCTGGGGCACGGGCAAGACACTGACGCTTGCACATGCTGCCATCTGCGTTAGAAGGCGCTCGCAGCAGCAGGCTCGGATCCTCATATGCACACACACCAACTCCGCAGCAGATCTGTTTGTGGAGCGCTATCTACGCAACGCTGACTCTGCCTTGCGCACAACGGTGCTTCGCCTATGTGCAAGATCTCGAAGTGGGCGCATCTCTGATGCAGTGAAGCAGTGCTCTGCAAGCCTTGACGACCTTTCCCTTCACCAGCTTCTTGATGCACGGATTGTTATCTGTACGTTGAGCTTGGCGAATGCCATCGCAAAGAGGATCACCTCTGTGCATGAGGACCATTTCACGCACATCTTCGTGGACGAGGGTGGGCAGGCCAAGGAGCCCGAGACTTTGCAAGCAGTTGCCTGCGCCGGGCGGAGGACGTGTCTCATCATTGCGGGGGACCACAAGCAGATGCGCTGCCAGTCGTCTTCCAACTTTGTGCAGGAGGCGGGTCCTGACCTGCAGTCGTTGCTTCAACGCATGTTCCTACTCTACGAAAGACAAGATGCGAAGACATTGCGGGCCTTGCTCAATGCAAACTACCGCTCACATCCTGACATCGTCAACTTCGTCGGAAGGAACTTCTACGGGCAGGAGCTCAAGGCCGAAGCTCCGTGTTGGGTGATGAACACCTGTGTCCCAGCCTTGCAGTTCGTACACGTTGAGGAGAAGGCAGAAGAGCTGGAGTATGAGCCTCACGGCTGGGCTAACATGGCAGAGGTCAAAAAGGTGTTGGAAGTGGCCCAGAACATTTCTGAGAGGCTCCGTACTGCCGATGTGGGCGTTATCTCAACCGAGCTGCCGCAAGTTTGGAGACTTCGCGAGCTCCGCGGTCGAACAACAGTGGATGTTCAGCGAATCTCGAATGTGCAGGGTCAGGAGTTCGATGTTGTCATCGTCTGCACGGTGGCATCGCACCGCATGGACGCATCCCTGCAAAGCAGTTTCGGCTTTCTCAATGACGAGGCCATGCTGAATGTTGCTCTGACACGAGCACGACGCTGTGTGATCGTCGCTCGGCATGGGCATATGCCCCACTGTCTGATAGGCGCCCTAAAAGCCTAAACGGTCCTCCTAACCGGTCCTCAACGGCCCCACAGCCACGTGGTTTCAGGTCGTGGGAGATGCGAAGGCGCTCGGCTCTGCGGGATGCTGTGCTTCCTTGTGGAAGCGATTCATCGAAGCGGCTCAGAAGCTCGGGGGCTCGAGCTTTGATGTGGCGAACATTGAAAGAGGGTTGGCTCGGGACCTTGAGGAGGACATTTTCGAGGACGAGGACGAGAACCTCCCGGATGACGAGATCTTGCTTCTGACCATGAGACAAGGCCTTGAAGAGAACATGGGGAACCTGGTCCGTCCGGAAGACCGCCGCAGGCAAATCGATCTCCAGCTCGAAGCTTTGGTTAGTGCCGGTGTACCTTCCGCCCCTCGTGCGCCCCGGCGCCCCTGGCGGACAAGGCCAGGT